GTGGTCAACAAATTACTTCAATTATTAACAATTATTCAATGGAGTAAAAATAGTAGTATACTGTTCATTATAACCGTACAAAATTATTGTACATATCATCTTAAGGTCATCAGTCCTAAGACTGCTTGGACACGTACCTCAACTCGTTTCTATCCTGTGCTAGTCTTCGCACTTTCTTTCTTTTTTCTAAATTTTCAAATCCTATGTAGGTACGTGTTTTCTATCGTTTTCTCTATTGTTACCAGTAAAAATTTTTAAATGTTCATTTTAACCAAGTACTGGTCGCTGATCAGTGTACATGACAACTGAATTTCGCTCTAATATATGTAATAATTATTTTCAGACAAACTTAAAGGCAGCGCTCCGAGTAGAATTGTAAATGTTTCATCTGTTGTGCACACGATTGCGAATTTAGATCCTGACGATATGGACAGATATCCAAAAGAGCGTCCTCTCTCGTATTACGTGACCTACGGCAATAGCAAATTGGCTAACATATGTTTTAATATAGAACTGGCTAGAAGACTAGAAGGAACAGGCGTAACTACAAACGCTCTTCATCCCGGTTATATTTTCACCAATATTTTTGACGAAATATCAGGCCTTCAAAGGACGATTCTCAACTTTTTTGCGGGCATTTGCTCAAAGGTAAATAAAACGTTCTTGCAAGTATTACACTAGATACCTATGTTTGTGAGAAATTGGCTGGTATTGTTACGAAAAGTTTAAAATTCAGGAGTATTGGCAAATATTTTGGGAGACAGTACTATCTAGTACTAGTAAAAATTATTCTTTTCAATTTCACTCTACCGAATTACGACCAAACTAGTTCCATAAATTTCTCTAAAATATTATCGGAAAAGGTCCGTTTGCAGGACTAAACCGCCGATATGTACGAATGGAGTACTGAAACAGTACCGCATTTAGTACGAAAAGAACACGGATTGTTTTCCAGAAATCTACTGAAATACCACCGAAAGAGCCACACATTTATACTAAAAAAGCGCCGAAACAACACTACAGGGATACTAAAATTTGAATGTATATACGTATTATTTTTGATTTTTAAATACTTTTATATGAAAATCAATAAAAATCAACGAGAGCGAAGCGGTCTGGCTTGACATAATTAACAAAAATTAAACCTGTTTAACATATTGTTTTGTGAATATCATAACTTTATCTATTATTTATAATATTTTATTTGATGACTAAAAAGTTAAGTTTATCTTCGTTTCTTTCGTGAATTATACTTTTCATTTTGTATCCAAGCCCAGGGCCGGACTGGTCCGGGGTGCAGGGGTGCAAATGCACCCCGGGCCAAACGACTCAAAAAATGTGAAAAAAAAAGAGAAATTAAAAAAATATTTTAATAGTTTTCAAATTTTTTTATAAAAGGAAATCAAAAAAAACTATATAAATATCATTTCTAAAGAAACGTTAAAAATTTTTTTTAGAAGAATTAAGACTAGATTAATTAATTAAAACCGAGACAAAGACAAGGCCAAAACCTTCAGTCCGGCTCTGCGTGTATGTACCTATTAGGAATTAATGTTTATATTTTAAAGAAGTACAGCACAATAAATATATTTCTTTTTTATTCGGGTGGAACTTACTGATGCTTTATAAGAAATTAATAACTTTAATGCGCAAATTTCAGCATTTGACATTACCTTATAAAAACAACTATGCATTGACAAAGTGTATTAATGACTAATCGGACGGTCTCCCATGAATAAAACATGCAGTTAAATATTTCCTATTAGAGAAATTTTTATAGGAAATACTAGCT